GAGCGCCGGCAATATGTGCTATTTTTCCAGTTTCGGCGGGCATGAAACTTGTGTCGAGCGGACCGAACTTCAATCAATCCTAGAAAAGTTCAATTGGAATTTTTAATGAAATAAAACTCATTTTAGTAATTGACTAGGTAAGGGCTTCGAAATCCCAGCTTATGAGAAAAATCGAATTTTCGAAGTAAAATCAGTGGTCGGTCCTTACAGAGACAGCCTCTTAAGCATTGAGTTTTTTTTCTTGGAATCACTCCCTTAATTAGATAACAAAGGAAACAATTCTTGATGAACTAAACTTTCTTCTCCCTCGTGGTGACTATCGTAAGAAACCCTTACTTTAAGTGACTAAAAAATATCTTAATGTTAAATCAATTTATTTTCACTGAAACTTCTAAACAGCACAACTTTTGTCAGGACGACTAGACAGCAATTATGTCCACCAGAAAATTGTTTCTTATACGCTGACGGTGGATGGATGATTTTTTTTTTTTCGATAATCTCAATAAGTGGTTTGCATTGGTACAGACTAGCTCCGGAATCCATGAAAGTGAATGGTATGTTCTTTGTGATGCATTCAGGGCTGAAGAAGATTCTGCTAGAGAAGATGAACAATGAAATTCCCGTGATCAGCGTGATAAGCATCATGGGGACAACGGAAGAAAGTGCCGTTGATCCTTTGAAAGACATCTTCGAAATAAGGAAAGAACTTAGCACGAAGGAGAAGGTATATTAAAGTATGACTTCTGTAGATGTAGTAGTCGTAGACATAGTGATGGTAATGGTACGAGTACACTATTTGTTAACACTGGCACGTTTAAACGTGAAATTTCTCAACCTTGTTTTCAATCGTTCTCGCTGTTTTATGTTCACATTTGCCCAATGCCAGTTCCTGCTGTTGTTGTTCTTTTTGCTGTTGTGTGGCTGCTGCTGTTTTCATGTTTTTACTCTCATTCCGTTGTTTTGCTCGTTTTTACCTCAGGGGCTCAATTTCACCATTCACGCAGACGCTGCGTGGGGAGCATATTTCTCTTGCATGTTACGTGACCCATCAGTGGGTGATACCATGCCGACTCCTCAAGAAGAAGGCTTCGTCCCTGAACTCTTCCTGAACAATCACGTGAAGAAACAACTGATGGTTCTTAACCAGTGCGACACAATCACTGTGGATCCACACAAATCCGGCTTCTGCCCATATCCAGCTGGAGCAATTTGCTACCGTAACAAGAATCTAAACAATTTTCTTTCTGTGGCAAGTGACGTGGTGTACTATCACGGAGATTTCACCCTTGGTGATGTTGGCATAGAGGGATCAAAGCCAGGCGCCGCCGCATGCGGAGTATTGCTGGCTAACAAAGTGAGTAAGCCCACATTAAGGGTTACCGACAAGAACTCAAACTCTTGATCTCGTTTGACCACAAACTCTCATGCATTTTTATCGACACTCGTACTGAATTCTCTCTCAAGTAAGGTGATGTTGATGTCAGCTGATTAAGTCAACCTTCTTGTACTCTCGACTCGTTTAACTGTTCATTCAGTACTTATTCCAACTTCTAATCATGGTGGAATTCCATCGATTTTTTTTTTTAATTTTATTTTATTTTATTGATAAAAAAAAAACATATTACAATATTGCAACAAATTACAAAAGTAGTGCAAAAAAGAGGGTTGTTACAACTGATAATATTCTAATGAAAAATAGTCGATAATGTATACGGTAGTAAATATTACAAACAATGTGTCTCTCTAGCTTTGCAAATATGTGTATAGTTGGGGGAAAGGGCAACATAGTCACGTCAAGTCATTTGTCTATTTCAAGCTGGATAATAAATTTAGATATGAATTCAGAAGTATCTTGCTTCTTTTGCATTGTTTTGCAAGCATAATGGTATTGCTTTGCATATAACAGGAGAAGACGCAAATCCTTTGTTTGGTTATCAGAAAGATTGGTGTTTGGTGTTGGTAAATTGAGAAAGCATTGTAGCGGGGTTACGTTGACATTGATTTGGTGTAAACTATTGAACCAGTGAAGAGACTCGTCACATAATTTCAAGAGAGATTGACAATCAAAGAATGCATGTTCAATAGAGTCATTTTCACCGCACAGAACACATTTGGCACAGTCA